ATATATATATCTACATGCATTTCATGCTCCCAGATTTCACTAAGCCCTTATCTGCTGAGGAGGTGATGTCATAAACAATAATATAATGGTTGCCAAAAATTCAACTTGATTTCTGGTCAAATAGAACTTTCCTTGTGATTTAAACTTTAGCAACATTTAGTCGTTAGTTCAGTACACTGACTGTACTCCTACAGCCACAGGAGAGAGTTTTTAAGGTGAAGCTTTTTATGCTCTTTTATTTAGCAGTCCAAAGTGCACTGTTTACATTGTCCTGAGAGGGTCAGCACCATCTGCTGTCGCTCTTTAGCTTGAAAGCTTATTTGCAGAAACTGCTTGGCCCCAGTGTGATCCTGAGCCACCTCTATTGATTGAGTGTTCTTCTTCCTCCTTCCTTTACTCTCCTTTCTCAACAGGTCCCAGCTCTCATCGCTGCCCCAACACTCCAAGTTAGTCTGTTTTCTCACCTACTGCATACTTCCCACACATGCGGCCTTTCTTCTTCACTTCCTCTCTCCTGAATCCATTCCCCCTGTTGCAATCCTGACAGACATCGCAAGCGTACAAGCTTGTAGCCTCTGGCACTCCCAAGGATGCAGCAATGGCCTTCCCCTGGCTGTGAACTTTCCACAACACCGTTATGATGCGGAAGCAGAGGACACATGGCGTTATGGATAGTTGAGCAGAGCGGACAGTTGCATTTGTTGGACATTAGCCTTGTTATCTATGGTTTCACCCTCCATTTAACCAAAAGCTGAGGCCTGCACAAACACATACACATCCATGGTAATGTGTTCTGTGGCCTCTTTGTGTGATAGTATTAAATTTGTATAATTGGCCAGGCCTCATTGTGTAAAGTGGCCTGGGTTACCAGCCATTAGCTATTAGCATTAAAGCAGTACTAAGCATGCAAATGTTTTTCACCTGAAAACATGGCTTTTGACCTCACAGATATGCTCAGCCAAAGATACTTATGTTAATATATATTCAAGGCCTTTTTAAATTGTCTGAACTTTGTCACTTCAAGGGCACGCAGTATGTAAGGTTAACCATCTCCGTCTTTAACCTTGTTGGTTCTTCATGCATTGCGAACAGTTAACTTTTCACCCATAGAGCAAGTTCCTTGCATTTAGGTACATAGCTTTGACAAACCCAGAAGTTTAGGATGAGTTTGTGTGGTTAGATTAGCAGAAAATCATTCCATAAGTCCTAAACGAGGAATCTGATGTCTGAAATTAAACCAGCCTAAGTGCAAAGTGCTATTGCAGCACAAATTTATATTGAGAGTTTTTTGTGGAGGTCTGTTCATTTTTGTGTGGGGGGTTGTTTTGTTTTGGTCCTACCTGTACCAACAAGCTCAGTTGGTGGAGCCGGAGAGATGTCTGCCTCATGCTTCCTTCAACGGAGCATGCTCACTCTGTCACTCATGTGCATCTCCGATCCAACCTCACCTCTGTCCTCACTTAGCATGACGATATATCACCGAACGTCATCAGCCTGTTTCAACATGTACGATCCGTATTCTTGTTTTTTTTTTAACTCTCCTCATGCATTGTTGAACAACATGCACCTCATGGTCCCACTGGCAGCTTCACTCACCTCGTGGTTCAACCATTGTTCCTGTAAGTCAGTGTGGATTTTTGATGTAAAACAGCCAAGTCTCACTCCTTCCTCTCTTTCCTTTCCCTCTCTTCCTCTCTCCCCAGGAATGAGGGAGCACCCACCCATTCCTGTCATTGACCTGGCCGACCACATAGAGAGACTGAAAGCCAACGACGGCCTCAGGTTTTCTCAGGAGTATGAGGTAAGAGCAACACGCCACCGCGGTGCCAGTAATTCCTGCTCTTTGAAGCATATAAATGGGTTTCTTTGTTATTGTGTCAGGGAGGACCATTTTCTTTTTGATCTCATATGCATGTATTCTAATGGATTATGGAAGACTTTTTTTCATAGACATTCTTCAGTCATTTTTACAACTCCATTACCAATCCCACTAGGAAACCAACACTTACATTAAATGCTGGGAGATGCGCTTTCACAAAACTAGCAGGTGGCGAGTCGCTTAAGCAATCTGTGTTCGTCTTGCTGCTTCCCTGAAGAATGTATTTTTTGCAGGCGGTCTCTCCAGTGCAACTCAGTGAGGGATTATCTGTTGTCAGTGTTCTTCTTCACCAGACGAAAAGGGAAGGGGGGCAAATTTGCATTTAAAGTGGTACATAGTTGGTTTTGGGTCTGAGCAAGGCCAGATGAAGAGGAGAGGCATCCTTGAATACAGAAAAACACGATTTGTCTTTTATTTATTTGCTTTGATTGTTAAATCTGCCTGGTCTAATCAACCCTATTGGATCCAACTAGAGTATTGCAGTGGTTGTGGATTTTTGCTTTTAGGTTTATCTAGAAGGTCATGTTCTTACTCGTGTCACCGTGTTTGTGACCGGTGTTAGAATGACAAGAAATGTTGCTGTGCAGTTTCCCTCTCTTAGGAGGAATGAAATATTTATCTTGCTGTCTTCCTATTATCACAAGTCTAAATGTACCTTTGTATACCCAGTGTCTGCATAAAAGTAACCCTTAATTCACATCTCATATATCTCTATGTTTTATTATTTATGTGTTGCGTTGGCATCATAAGGCAAATATGTATTTCAGTAAAATGCTGTGTTTTTTATGTTTTCTTTCCTTTTGAGCAAGTAAAATGTTATTCCATTAAAGTTTCATGCATGATCTTTCCTCAGCTGTAGCAGTCGGAGAGAAAACCAAGGTTTTGTGAAACAAATCTGTAAATGTTTGGCATTTGCTTACTTTGGATGTTGTGGTATTTTGAATGATTTGATGGTTCATTATGAGTTTATCACCCTTTTTCCCCATTTATATACAGGGTTTCCACAGGTCCTGGAAATCCTTGAGAGTTTGTGAATTTGAAAAAAAATATTTCAAGGTCCTGGAAAGTTTGTGAAGACAGCCAAAAATTACACTTGTCCTTGAAAGTCCTTGAATATTTTTTGGGGATTGAAACTCTATTCACACGACTAATTTTCATCATCTTTTAAAAAAATAAATTATAAAATAAAATATACATTGGATAACTATGTACACAACAATGTAGATAACTCAGGATAACGGTAAATTGACGTCATTGTTTCTAACTCAACAACTTCTATGTTGTTCAGTTTTTCATGATATTAAACCAGTTTACTGGTAACATTCTGCAGTAGCAGTAGGTAATTGCTGTTGCACGTGGTTCTTTAATTTGAGGAAATTGGTACTGGAAAGTCCTTGAAAGGTCCTTGAATTTGATGTTGACCAAGGTGTGGGAACCCTGTATGTAAGTAATTATAGCCTTACACCTAAGATCTGTAATGTATAAACAAAATTTACTTTATATTCCTACATTTGTTCCAATTGTTCACATTTTAAAAGATGAGGGATATGCCTCTTTGATTTTGGTAAATGTCAGTGAAATCAATAAATGGTGAGGATTTTTGGGCTTGATAAAAGTATGAACTTAGTTAAATGATTTCAGTTTTACTTCTTGAATTAGTGTAAAGAAACCTAGCCAGACCAAATAGCTTGATTGACAGTAGGCAAGTAGTCAAACTCCACTACAAAAGCTCCCTGCAAGACTAACCATATATGGCATATCTGGAGTTGTAAATACTTCAATCTCGGATCATTCACTTATTTATGTCATTAGAAAAAACCTTAAGAAACCTACAGGTCATGTGCATAATTTCATTAAAAGGATTCCAAAATCAAAGTTACCCATGTTTCATGCTGAGATTGAGAATACTAACTGGAATGAGGGTATTTCTCTGTCAAATCCAAATCGTATTTTGTCAAAATTTTATGATAAGTTGGAGACAAAACAGGAAAAATATATTTCAACTTGTAAAGTTCCAGTCCAGAAAAATAAAATTCCATGGTTGAATGCCTCTATAATACATCTCCTAAAGTTGAAAGCTTCTTCAATGAAAACATAGAATTTCAAAAACTTCTGAAAATCGGTCTTGTTTAAACAGCTATCGAAATAAATGTGTTGCTGAATTACACAAAGCCAAACAACAATATTTTAAAAATCAAATTATTTCAGCCAGTAAGAGTCCAAAAATATTATGGGAAATGATTAAGTCAGTGACAGGTGAAAGTAACAATAAAACATTTAATAACAATTCACAAATCTCAGTAAATGGAC